GAGAGCAACATGGACCTCCACACATCTTCCTCCACACTGCAAACCCCACTTCCTACTAGCACTGAGGACGTTACCTAGCTGGGTCGTGAAAAGTCTGCAAGAAAAGTTCAGAGAAGACCAAGGACCCTGGCAGCTGTTCTTCTCGTTTTCTCCTCCTCTCCTCTTTGCATCTCTTAATATTTGTAGCTTGGGTGTGACAGGACGCGTCCATGGTGCTCTCTGGGCCTGCTTGTTTCATGACCCTAACTAGGTAACATCCTCAGTGCTAGATTCGCTGTCCAGTTACATGCCTGGGCTGTGTACTGATGGCTCCAGTTGGGTCAGGAAACACCTGCAAGAAAACCACCAAGCTCAGGCAGCACCGAGGACCCCAGAGCGAACCTTCTCTTTGATTAGTAACACCCATGATTTTTTTTTGGGGGGGGGGTGTATTTACCTGCCGCAGTGCACCACCACAGCCACGAGATCATACATTCGGTCCGGGTTTGTAGCATCTCCTGATGTGTTGAAGAGCCGAAGCTCTAGAGGAAAGACCACGCGGTAGGAAAGCTTGGTGTATCGGTGGAGCTGGTCCATGTATTTGAACCTTTTCAGGTGCAGAGCGAGAATCATGGGCAGCTTTTTCACGCGCATCCTGGATCAAGCAAGGCAGGATCGAAGGAGAAAGGAGAAAACAAAAGGAGCTCTTACAAAACCATGCTCAATTCCACCGGGAGACTTGACGAAGGTTGGAAAAAAATACACCCCCCCCCCCGTGAATAAAATACCGGTAGTCCTCCACTTACGAACAGAACTGAGCCCCAAAATTCTGTTAAGTGAGACATGTGTTAAAAGTGAATTTTGCCCCATTTTGCGACCTTTCTTGCCTCTGTTGTTAAGTGAATCACTACAGTTCGTAAGTCAGCAACCCGGTTGTGCTAAGCAAATCTGGCTTCCCCGTTGACTTCGCTTATCAGAAGGTCGCAAAATGGGATCACATGACCTTTGGGACACTGCAGCCGTCTTAAGTATGAACCAACTGCTAAGTATCTGAATTTTGATCACGTGATCAAAAGTCGCAAAGGTTGTAAGTGTGAAAAATGATTATAAGTCACTTTTTTTCAGTGCCGTTGTAACTTTGAACTGTCACTAAATGAACTGTTGTAAATCGAGGACTACCTATTTTTGACACACACACACACACACACACACACAAGACAGGCAAGATTTGAAGCAGATTTCCTGGATCACGTGGCAAAGGGATGAGTTGACCGCTAAGCAAGAGCTGAATGCAAGGCAGCTATTAATTCTGACTCAAATCGACAAAAGAAATCAGAAAAAAAATTTCATTTATTTATTAACTAGATTTTTACAATCCTGCCTTTATTATTTTTTATGAATAATTCAAGGTATCAAGCATACGTAATGCTCCTTCCTCCTCCTATTTTCCCCACAACAACAACCCTGTGAGGTGGGTTGGGGCTGATTGAGAGGGGCTGGCTACGATCACCCAGCCGGCTTTTATGCCGCTTAAGGCGGGGACGAGAAGGATTGGGCCAAACTAACCCAGCCAAGTTTTATGTGCTAAGGTGGAACTAGAACTCACAGTCGCCTGATTTCTAGTTTGGTGTCTAACTACTAGATCAAACTAGGGGCCTCTTGTTCCCCCTCCCCTCTTCTTCATCAAGAAACGTCGAAGTTTGGAGCCAACAAGAGTCAAATTCTACCAGAAATACCACCTGGTCCTGTTTGTCTCTTTATTTGGTGGGATTAATTTCACGGTTTGACCCCTGAAATTCGCACGTTTATTCAGGCTCCAAGAACAGGCGGATGTCACTGCTCTGAAAAGCTCCTCGGCCCACTACAGCCCCAGAATTACTGAAGCCCCCCCGGAAGGAGAAATCAACCTTTGAACTACAGTAAGGATTGCAGATGAGTAATACTAATGTTATCTTTACATCTGCAAAGTTAATCATACAAAATAAAAAAAATTAACAGAATTATGAGGAGCAGGGAAAATTATTTAGCTACCTTCTCCTTCTCCTGTAGAAATTCATTTGGCCATTCTTCACAGGCCAGATGCTTTTGAACACACTTCAATAAACTATAACAAATGTCTCATTTTCTCTCTCTATATTTTTATTACAAAAGATACAACAAGAAGGTAAAAACCAACAAATATAGTGAGGAAGAAGTCACCCATGTCTGAGTTGGGTGGTTAGAAGGAAGGAAGGAAGGAAGGAAGGAAGGAAGGAAGGAAGGAAGGAAGGAAGGAAGGAAGGAAGGAAAAAGAAAGAACATAAACTGCAAGGTAAGAAAAAAGCTGAAGAAAAGTAACAGAAAGAAAAAAATACAAAGAAGTGGCTTCTAAAATTCTTCACAACAGTTATAAATAAAATACAGTATATATATTTCAGCCTTTCTCCACAGTTCCATCATATTACTCCTGTTTCTATAATCTGTCTTGTCATCGAAACCACAAACCACAAGTTCATTAGAAATGTGTCTTTCATAAACGACAGAAAGATCCTTTTGAACTATAAAGTGGGGGAGTTGATTAGAGCCCACTACTTCTTTCTCAGTCTACCTGTCTACCTGCCAGGCGGGTCTGCTGTAAACGTATCAAGAAGCGAAGTCCTTGGTGGCCCCCAGGTACGGAATAAAAATCGCATCTTAGCCTCACCTCTTCTGCGCTTCCTGTTTACTGCGGCACTGCTCACAGTAGTACTTGTACTCGCTGCACAGAGTCTCGGTGTTACTGAACCCTCTGCAAAGTGGAACAGATTGGAACAGAAGTTATAATTATCAGGTTTCCCAGCACTGAACAGATTTTCTCTGGGCCGTCTGTACAGAGCTGCCCCACAGGACAAAAATGCCTGTGTTTGCAGTGGGAAATGCAAATGTCACCCAGCACCACAAAACGGACAGTATAATGGTTGAAGCTCATCCTTATTCTATTTTTTTCCTCCGTCTCCTTTAGGCCCCATCCCCAAATGACTCAGAGAAGCCACTTCTGAGGGCTTTATTGGACTGGGGTCCTTTTTGTGGCTGACATCCGTTCCGATCAAGTAATTGCTGCTGCTAATTTATTGTGTGTATCGTGTCAGCCAACTGGATCTACAATGGCACAGTAATGCAGGGATTTGCATTCGTATGGTGGCCAAAGCAAGCAAATAATTCTCCCTGAAACTCTGTTAGAAGCCTTATAAAAAGGCAGAATGTGCACAGTTAAATAAAAATAAATAACCCTCGAGGAAGCTATTTCATGTATAAGTGTTGGCTTCGGTGTCCTGAGGGTGAATAGAGCATGGGTCTCCAACCTTAGCAACTTTAAGACTTGTGGACTTCAACTCCCAGAATTCCTCAGCCAACCTTGGCCACTTTAAGACTTGTGGACTTCAACTCCCAGAATTCCTCAGCCAACCTTGGCCACTTTAAGACTTGTGGACTTCAACTCTCAGAATTGGGAGTTGAAGTCCACAAGTCTTAAAGTGGCCAGGGTTGGAGACCCCTAAAATAGAGTTTCCTTCTGTTTTATTTGGCTGCCTTTTCTGTTTTTGTTGAAATGTTGTACCTCAGGCAATGTGTGATTGATGTATTTTGTTCCACGTCAACCGACAGGTCCAGAAAATCTTCATCTTTGCTGCTCACCTTGAAGAGGTTAAAAAAAAAAAGGCAGATTTTACAACTTTAAGAAATAGAATGAAGGATGTACAACTGTGCAGCATCTCAATCCTAGCATTGTTCTCTGCTAAATCTATCTCAATGAAAGGCCCTGAGCCAGTCACATTCCCAACATTTACTGCTAGGAATGTGGGTTTCAGGCGTGCCTTCATTACAGGCAGTCCTGGACCACAATTTCTGTTGCTAAGCGAGATAGTGATTAAGTGAATTTTGTTCCAATTTACACAAGTCTTGGGGTTGCCAAGTTTGGAGACCTCTGGTTTAGCAGAACAAATGGATGGACTCAGTGTAGACATGTGCAAAGCAGGTAATCCTCAACTTACAACCGTTCAAAGTTACAACGGCACTGAAAAAAGTGACCATTTTTCAGACTTATGTCCGTTGCAGCTTCCCCGTGGTCAGGTGATTTACATTCAGATGCTTGACAGGTGACCCACATTTAGGATGGCTGCAGTGTCCCAGGATCATACGAGCATCATTTGCCACATCATCTGACAAGCCAAGGGGGAAGCGAGGTTCCCTTTACAAACCGGGTTATTAATTTAATAACAACTGCAATGATTCACTTAATGTGGCCAGAAAAGTCATCAAATGGGGCAAAACTCACTTAACAAATTTCTCCCTTCACAACGTAAATTTTGGACTCAATTGTGGTTGTACGTTGAGGACTACCTGCACTTCAAATCCACAGATGAAAAAGTTCTTCGGAGGAGGGATGGTGTCATGCCCCTGTTGGAATCGGACTCGGAGGAGGAAGCTGAGCAGCTGGCAGGGAGCGGGAGTGTGGCCCCGTTGGCTGTGGATGAAACTGGGGAAGGGTAAAGTCTGACTGGGCAGAGCAGGGGAGAGGTAGAGCAAGGGAGAGGGAATTCAGAAGAAGATCCAGACCCAGCCCCTCTTTATCCTAGGGCATGCAGGGAGGAAGGGAGCAACGTGGGTTGTGTGGCTTACAGGGGAGGAAAGGGCCCTGATTCCCTTCATTAGCCACAGCTGGGAAGACAGTTGATAAGGAAGGCAGGCTGCGTGCGGCAGCTGCCGGGAGCAAATGTGACTTTATCCTGTGTTGTCATGGCTTATCTGTGTTCCTGGCGTCTTCCCATCCATGTGAATTTTGCTGTGCCTTCAAGTCTGAAATTCCTTTTCCTGCCTTGTCAAGTTAATTACTTCAGCTTGGTTTGGATTTTTGGTTACAGTTTGTATGTACCTTGTTTTGGACTGAATTTTCTGCAGTCAAAGGCTGTTCCTGGGAGAATTTTTCTCCAGCCAGAAGGTAACCTGGACATTGGGGGCAAAGTTGGAGATAATAAAGGGACTCTTATTGCTTATCTGACTGTGTTGCCTTTGTGCCACGCCCCTTTGGGTCATCACAGATGGGCACACTGTGAGCGCTTCCTTTACTCAACGGACCATGCAAGACCAGGACACTTGGTTTCTTTCAGAAGATGCAGACCAGTCTTGTGGCCACCCCAAAGCTTCAGACCCAGGTCCAAAGTACTGATGTGCTCAAATCAGGACCTTTAGACTGAAGAATGTAACAGGGCAACTACTTCAAGGAGACAAGAACTACCCTAATCAAGGAACCACCAAGGAGAAAACTGCACCACCTAAGGTACTGCATAGAAAGAGAGAGCAAACCCCAAACTGCCTGGCCCTGATGACGTTTCCTACTTGGGCAATGAAACATTAGCAAGTTTATTAATTTTGGAAAGGAGCTAATATCCCTTCAGAAGATTTAGTCATGTGAAAAGTATTAGAATGCGCGGAAATGGATAAGCTCACACTGGAAATGAAAGACAAAGAGGATTCCGAATATTACGCAATATGGGATAAATGGTATGAGTAGCTAAAAAATAGAACAAGAACTGAGATAAGAGTGGGGCAGAGTTATGAACTTCACACCCTCCTACAAGTTTCTTGAAAGCAGACCAAGCCAGTTGTGGCAGGAAACATGGTGGGTGCTGAAGTCCACACATCTTTGTTGCCAAAACCGAGAAACGTTTTTCTAGCTCAAGGGTCTCCAAATTTGGCATCTTGTGGACTTCCAGTCCCCAAATTCTGAGAGTAGAAGTCCACAAGTCTTAAAGTTGCTAAATTTAGAGGCCCCTCTTCTAGCTAAATGCAGGTTTAGCAACTAGAAGGAGATGACAGTTCATCTGTTTATATACAGACAGTAAGAAGATGGGGGGGAAAACACAGGCAACCATCTTGGGAAAGAGCACCGTTAAGTGGGAATTTCAGAGAAAGTAAAGAGCCACCTACAGCTTCACAGTTTAAACAGCGAGTTTCGTTTGTTAGTGTTCCCTGGAAGATTTCATGGACCCACGTAAGCTCGGTCTTCTCCCCTTCCTCACTCTCAATGCTTCCATTCTGGAGTTTTCCGTTCTGTTTTTCCTGCTTCTTTTCTTCTTGCAGCAAGTCCGCAATCGTGTTCAATAGATAGTTCAGGAATTCGTGTGCGTCCTGCTGCATATAGTTGTCAAACAGCTCTGGTAACAAGAAGGCACACAACAACAACAAAAAGAGCAGAGGAATTAAGATATTAGACCGCCAGCGTAGTATGGTTGAAATCATTACAGAATTTCAGATACCAGGACAGAAAGCAACAGGGTATGCTTTTATTAAAACTGAGCAAAAGTGTGTAGTAAAAATAGGTTTTTAAAAAGGAGATGGGAACATATTTGCAACATGACTATAATACCACTCTGAGGCAAATGATCACATCACTCTGGGACAATTTGAAGGACATGCCAGTTGCCAAGCACACTATTTCTGATCATGTGACCCTGGGGATGCTCCAACGGTTGTAAGGATCGTAAGTCAGTTTTTTTTCAGCGCCGTTGTAACTTTGAACGGTCACTAAATGAATGGCTGTTCAGTTGAGAACTACCTGTAGTTAAGGGCAAAGGACAACGAATGATGGGCAGAGTTACAAAACGGTTACCACGAGAGTCTGATTTACTTGCTAACTAGTTCTCGATGTTGGCCTAGTCAGTTAAAGGATATTCTTCTTTTTATTATTTTATTATTATTTAATTTTTAATTTTTATTCTTACGCAGTCCGATCTAAGCATAGTACACACAATTGTCTGCTAAAACTTCTTGCCTGTCAACGACTTCTTCAGCCTCAATCGCAATAACACACGGGCAAATAACCGATACAAACTCAAGGTAAACCACTCCAAACTCGATTGCAGAAAATAGGACTTCAGCCACAGAGTTGTCAATGCCTGGAATGGCCTACTCGCCCCCATGTTTACAGCCTCAACCCCTCACAGCTTCAACCTCAAACTGTCTACCGTGGACCTCACCCCATTCCTAAGAGGTCCCGAGCATAAGTGCACCAGCGTGCCTACCGTCCCTGTCTCACTGTCCCCATTTATCTGTATTTAGTCCCTTTGTTCTTGTTTACATTCTTGCTATCTTGCACCTGTTTGACAAACAAACAAACAAATAAATTCTTTAATCAGACGTTGAACCTGGATGCCCTCTATCACCTGTGTTTGTGGGGGGGGCTGGATTTTGATATGGGTCGATATGGTGATTCGCTGTTTGCAAGTAGCTTGATTCTTAAATTAACAGGATTTCTTTTCTAAAGGCTAAGTGGGGCAGGAAGCTTAATGGAGAGGTGTGTCCATGCATCATGTTGATTACTCCAGTGCAGGTGGTCCTCCACTTATGACCATAACTGAGCCCAAAATTTCTGTTGCTGAGCGAGACCGTTCAGTGAGTTTTGCCCCATTTTGTGACCTTTCTTGCCCCAGTTGTTAAGTGAATCACTGGTTAAGTTAGTAACCCGGTTGTTAAGTGGAACCATTGACTTTGATTGTCAGAAGGTCGCAAAAGGGGATCAAGTGACCCCACTGGGACATTGCATGAGTTGCCTGAAGGGCCTGGAGTTTGATCAGGTGACTTTGGGGAAGGGGCTGCCATGGTTGTAAGTGTGGAAAACAGTCGTCAGACACAGGTTTAGTGACAACAGTCGCCAAACCAACAGCTGTGAGTCGAGGACTGCCTGCAGGAGGGGGCTTCCTCTGTCCCCACAAACCCCCAGTTCTGAGCCAGGTGCTTCTGAGGGCCTCCAAGCCCAACGGCTCCCAGTCCACCCAAACCGGCCCCTCGTGAGCTCTCCGGCCTCCTCCGTCTCCAGGAAGCGAGAGGCTCCCTTACCGTTTTCTTTCCTCAGCCGGGAGATGAACTTCTTGGGGGGGATGACCCCCACTTTCTTCTTCTGGGTGGCAATGCTGTTGAAGAGGTCCGACAAGCAGGTCAGGAGGGTCTCCTTTTTGCGGGCCTGGACCTTGTAGGCCAACACTTTTTCCCGAAATGGACGACAGAAGTAAAGGGCCTGGAGGACGGAGTTACAGTAGCAGGTGTTTCCAAACTGGGAGGAGGGAAAAAGGAAAGTAACTAAGGGGGTCTGTCTGTGTGTCGCTGCAACTGCAGGTAAAAGAGAACTAAGGAAACCAAGAGTATAGCACAGGGGGTTCCAACCTTGGCAGCTTTAAGACTTAGAATCGAATAGAAAATAGGAATAGAATAGAATAGAATAGAATAGAATAGAATGGAATGGAATGGAATGGAATGGAATGGAATGGAATGGAATGGAAATGAAATAATGGAATAGAATAGAATAGAAATAATGGAATAGAATATGGAATATGGAATATGGAATATGGAATAAGAGTAGAGTAGAGTAGAGTAGAGTAGAGTAGAGTAGAGTAGAGTAGAGTAGAGTAGAATCGAACTGAATTCTTTATTGGCCAAGTATGACTGGACACACAAGGAATTTGTCTGGTGCAGAAGCTTTCAATGTACATGAAAAGAAAAAAAAATACATTCGTCATGAATCAAAAGACACCACACTTAGTGATAGTCATAGGTTACTAAATAAGCAATCAAATCATACTAGGAAACAAAACAATATAAATCGTAGAGATACCAGCAACAAGGTTATAGTCATAAGTGGGAGGAGATAGGTAATAGGCAGGATGAGAAGAAGAATAGTAATACAGTCTTAGTAAATAGTTTGACAGTGTTATGGGAATCAATTCTTTAGCAGAGTGATGGAAAACTGTCCTTGTGTCTAGTTATGGACAATTTGTAAACAATTTAAGACTTGTGGGTGTTAATTCCCAAAATTCTGGGAGGTGACGTCCACACGTCTTAAAATTGTCAAGGTTGGACCTGCCTAGTAGAGTATCTCCTGTTCAAGCAGGCAATTGGACCAGGCGGCCTCCAAGATGCCTTCTAACTTTAGCTGGCAAGGAAGACGATAGCGGGAGGCTGGCAACATAAGCATAAAGGGTGAAGGTGTTGCACACAATATTCTCCCAAAAAAGACATTTGAGAGAAAAGACAACCTTTTTGAGGGTTCAAGAGCCGCAGGGAGCATGAGAAGTTCCAAAGGCATTCCCTCTGCAACCTCCGCCTTGGGGCTGCAAGCCTTGTAGGCTGGTCTGGGCGGCTTTGTCAGTACTTCCTCAACCATCAACTGTTCCACAGCTGCCCGTCACCGCAAGAGGCATGAAGTATTTTCTTGGTTGACCCTCAGTGAAGGGAGCTGACCCCGGCTTTTAAAAAGCTCTGCAATGCCACTTGGCCCTCCCTCCCACTCGTTTCACAAGCCAGCAATGTTAATTAATTATGAAGGGGAACCGTGTCCTGTTGCTCGTCACTGCAGAGCAGGGGTCTCCAACCTTGGCCACTCGAAGACTTTGCTGGCTGAGGAACTCTGGGAGTTGAAGTCCACAAGTCTTAAAGTAGCCAAGGTTGGACCCCTCTGCTCCAGAGGAATCTGTTGCTATGCTGTAGACAACTGTCAGGGATGGATAGGTGGTGCTCCGGGCAAGGGCGCTGTTTGTGACTAGAGCGAGGTTTATGCACGGAGCCTGTCAGCAGCCAGAACTCTGATGGGGTGCCAAGGAGAGTTAGAGGAGATTCTTTCCGGAGTCAGCTCAGATCAAGAATATTTAGAGAAGGGACCAGCACTTTTAGGAGAAAAACGCCCTAGGGACGAGTTAGACAGTGTCTACATACTTCCTGTTTACAAAGCTGAAAGCAGATGTTTGCATCTGTCACATTTGAAGGTTGCTTCATTTCAGAGAAAGAAAAGAGACTCTGAAGGGATGATCACGCCTGGGAGAAATCATTTGACATCCAGAGTACATCCTCCTCCTCCTCCACTCTCCTCCTCTTCCTCCATCCACATCAAGACTCTCAGGATAAATAAAACTAATATTTGCCTGTTGAAAACAATGTATTGGGAGCTGTGTGCTATTCAACCCTAGGCTGTGGAAAGCTTTGAGAGGGTGCTTTGGTTCAAGTAATCTTCCATCCAATCACTCCTGAAGCAGAAGTGAGAACCTCTTGCCTCAAAGCAGCAAACTGAGTCAAGTTGAAAGGCCTTCGATTGTAGCTTTACCGGGGTCATTGTAGAGCCTTCCGTAATTTTGCTTCCATGCAGGGAGAAGTGCCATGGACTTTTGACCTGACCGATGTGTTTCGACACCTCGGGACTTCTGTGCCTATTACGATTCCCTCCATGCTGTTTCTGAACCTCCCTCTTGGCTGTGTCCCATGGAATTCTCCTCTCTCTGGGATGCTCCCATCAACACATCCAGGAGTTTGATTCAGCTTTCAGATACAAGCTCAAAGCTGACCATTCCTGGGTCAAGCCTTAGGTTTACTTTCATAGGACTAGGGCAGGTTTAAGCTCTCACAACGAGCAAATACTTGCAAACTCTGGGGCCCAAAGGTTTGTAGTTTTTGTTTTTAAAAGCGGGGGGCTGCAGGGGAGGAAGGTAGCTTTTTCTGGGCCAGCCCCCCCTTCTCTGTACTTTCAGGTTTGTATCTCATGCTGACGCTTCTGCTGCTGCTTCCTAACAAATTGAACCAATTCAGAAACTTCCTCGAGCAAACAAATGGCCAATGTTTTAACTCTTGCTTTTACTTCACTTTGTAAAGGTCGATTTGTATTAAGCAGACTTTCCAAGGCTCAGGATACAAACTGGCTCCTGGAGTAGTCAACGCAAGGGGGCACTCCGGGGTGTTCGGTTCCGAATCCAGGGATGACAAAAGACAACACAACCATCAGACAACTCCCCAAGAAGCACAAAAGAGCCACTTACATTCACCAAGCCGAAGTAATGTTCATTTATAGGAAATTGATCCGGACCAATCTCTTTCTCCAAAGCAGAGGCATTGGCGCCCTGGAAGACAAGACGGAGGAAAGACAAAGACACGTGAAATGGGCATAGGTAGTCCTCAACTTATAATGGTTCATTTAGTGACCGTTCAAAGCTACAACAGCACGTTGCAGCATCCCCAAGGTCACGTGATCAAAATTCAGACGCTTGGCAACTGGTTCCTATTTGTGACGGTTCCAGTATCCTGGGGTCACGTGACTGCGACCTTCTGACAAGCAAAGTCAATGGAGGAGGCCAGTTTCACTTAACAACCATGTTACCAACTTAAATAACTGCAGCGATTCACTTAACAACACAGGGCACTGCTCGTATTTGCACTGATGGGTCTCCAAATGTAAATTTGGGGGAAAGAAAAGACTACAACCTGTGAAGGGAGAATTCCACCAGTAGCAGATAAGACACTAGACCAGACTCTAATAATCTGCTATGATCCAGCATTCTTACAGCAAACTTCCGTGTAGTAAATGGTTCGTCTGCAACTTATCAAAACGTTGAAAGGCTCCCGCTACTCCCTAAAGCACATTTATTATAAAGAGCAGGTGCAGTCTGTATTTTAATACTAACTATACTGGTCTATTAAGCAGCAGCAGCAGCAGAAGTGAAGTCAACACAGCGAATGTTTTCCATCACACAACTTGATCAAGAACTAAAAGGCCTGATTGATTTAGTCATTTGGGAAAGGAAGGGCAGAATCTCCCACAACTCTACCTGCCATTCTCAGTTATGTTTCGTTTGGTACATGGTTTTGACCACAAGTTAACACAAGGAAAATAAAAAATAAAAATGCTGCTTATATTAGTATATAAACAAAGCTTGAAACACAAAATGAAAGGTCATTAGAAAAATCAACAAAGCAGTCCTCCATTGACGTATATCTCAGATTTCCTACTGCTATGCCACATCTCCCTTTAAATTTCCCAGTATTGCTTCAATTTTTTTTTTAAATTGAGTTGACCAAGAGCCAAACTGCAAAGGGAGATGAGAGAACCGGAGGTAGTAAAATTAAAGAGTAAAATAAAAGTAGCATAGAGGGAATATTCTTCGCTGTTAACGATAGAGCATCTGCAATTCCTAATTTCATAGGAAACACTTTGAAACAGGCCTTTAATAAAGCAGAATCCATTTCTTGCCATTAAACTTGCAGATCCAAAAGCTCCCCTTTCAAAACTATGAATGAACTGAAAAAATGCAGCATGAAACCCTTTCAGCCTGACAACAAACAAAGCCTGCTAAATGGAAACATCCTGGAGAACATTTTGCAACTGGGTTTTTGCAAGGATTGCCAATGCATTTCTCTCTCTTAGTTACCTCTTATACCAGGGGTCTCCAAAGACTTGTGCAATCCTCGCTTAAAAAAAAAAGAAATAAATTGCTTTCAAAATGCCACCGATAACATCTCTACCTCTGCAAAAGGAGAGCTGACTGCCATTATCAGCACAACCTCCCAGGAGTGAAAAGAAAATTAGCTCCCCGATTCAGAAAGTGCCCAAAGAATTAAAACTGATGTTAAAACACAACACACGAAACAGAAACTTAGCAAGGATCTCTGGGGTTTGGGGAATGTTCCCTTGGGCTGGAGGTGGTGTCCCTGTGCTTGACTGGGGACACTTCAGAATACAGCTGGAGTTTTCCATGAGGGTGTTTCTCAACCTCAAGAAATGAGCCCTCCCATACCTTGAGAAGTTGGTATACTAGGGAGTGGAAGCATTTTTAAATACAGAAAAGATTGCATCCTAGGGCAGGGGTCTCCAACCTTGGGCCTTTGAAGCCAGGCGGACTTCGACTCCCAGAATTCTAATTCTGTTTATTTGGGGGGGTTAGCTTGAAGACTTACACTGTAAATGGTTTTATATTGTTTTCATTATAAAACTGGTCTGGCAGGTATTATATCAAAATGAAACACGTGTATTGTTATTTTTAAAGGCACAATTGCCCATTTATCGGCAAGCATCACTAAAATTGTAAATCAAGGGCAACAAATCCCACCCTCTCCACTCCAAAGTTGCTCAATCTTCTTTCTTTGAAAATCTTTTGCATCGGGATTTATGCCGGATAACCACCTGAACAAAAAAAAAAGAGAAGTAGACTATGCTTAACACGTTTGACAAACTGACACATTTCCACGAAGCTTTTGCAAATGAAGATATAAGAAATCTCTTTTATCTGATCTAGTCCTGACACCCTCCGGTCCCACAGCTAACCATTATGTTGGCACCAAGCAACTGCAAGAACAATGATTAGTCTGACCACGTTAGCAGCAGGCTGGAGGCTCCCTATCTGGAAGGCTCTTTAGTTAGTACAAACTGGAAAGAGAGACACCGAATCAGGAAGGGGCAAATACTTTTAAGCAAATTGTGCTATATATCTGTAATCTTGGTTGAAGTGGGGGTGGGGGGGTGAGGTTTAAGGAATTAAATCCCAAGGCACACACGGAAAAGATGATACAGGGAAAGGAACGGTGGGAACAGCAAGGGGGGATGGAGTGGGAATATTAGAAGACCTTTAGACCAGGGGTCTCCAACCTTGGCTGCTTTAAGCCTGGCGGACTTCAACTCTACCCCATTTTACGACCTTTCTTGCCACAGTTAAGTGAATCCCTGCAGTTATTAAGTTAATAACAAGGTTGTTAAGTGAATCTCGCTTCCCCGTGGACTTTTGCTTGTCGGAAGGTCGCAAAAGGGGATCACGTGACCCCAGGGATATGGCAACAGTCGTAAGTATGAGTCAGTGGTTAAGTATCTGAATTTTAATCACGTGACCAGGGGATGCTGCAAAGGTCGTTAAGTGTGAAAAATTGACCATAAGTCACTTTTTTCAGTGCTGTTATAGTTTTGAATGGTCACTAAATGAACTGCTGTAAGTCGAGGACCATCAGGATACATTCCAAATATATAAACTGTGATGCACAGTGAAGCAAAAATAGGGAGGAAAACCAGAAGGGAAACCCGAGGAACCCCAAAAGTGGGGTTCCAGAGCATTTGAACACACAGTGGGAGGGGGACCAGGACGAAAACGAGCTAAGGCCTAAGCGATGGAGACCTTTAACTTTGATCAAAGCCATAAAACTGCCAAGAAATCTGAAAAAAGAAAGCAAAAATACATTGGCAACTCTAAAAAGACCATGGAAATACGGAATCCTGACATACATACTATTTCAGAAAGGGACCAGCAGCACAGCTGGGAAGGAAAAATACTCCAGAAGTAAAGGAGTTAATGAACTTTGGAAAGTCTTTTGGGGCAGATGGATTAGATCTGTATTTTGTATCAGAATACAGCATAAAAGCAGCTAGAGGAGAAGAAATGTTAATAATATGTTGGAATTTACAGTCTGTATTTTATCTTTCAGGTAACTGCGTAGTAGTATTCATAGGGCCGTAATATGTTAGCAATACACTAACTTTTACTGCTGAAATGACTATAATCTTTATATCTCTGTCATTTTCTATCATCCTATGCTGGTCTATGATCCAAATAAAAAGCATTGTGTTACATTAATGATATGATAGAATTTCCAGAGCGGGTAGAAATCAGGAAATTCATGTTAACAAGGATCAAAGTGGCGTGTGACCAAAATGGAGGAAAACAGCAGAAATGATCTTCTCAAGTGCACTTAAAGGACAGAAGTGGAAGTCTGGGAAAGTCAAGGAGGAATAGATAAGGAAGGGGAGTAAAAGAGTCTGGGTGAATACGTTCAATTTAGCTGGGATTAAAAACAGGAAGTGAAGGATGTTGAGTCAAAGGCAGGGGTCTCCAACCTTGGCCACTTTTAGACTTGTGGACTTCAACTCCCAGAATTCCTTAGCCGGCTTTGCTTCCATCCTTCCGAGGTGGGTAAAATGGGGACCCAGATTGTTGGGGGTAAGAGGCTGACTCTGTAAAACTGCTGAGAGAGGGCCGGAAAGCCCCGTGAAGCAGGATATAAGTCCAATTGCTAAGTGCTATTGCTACAATAACTATATATTTTATATGCAGCTGGAGACAATTCCTCGTCACCAAGTGAGAGGCCCAGGCAAGCCAAAAGGGTGGGCACCCATGTTTTATAGTGGAGGCCCCCAACCCCTTGGGCCATGGGCTGATACCGGCCTGTGGCCTGTTAGGAACTGGGCCGCGCAGCTGGAGGTGAGCCGCGGGCAAGGAAGTGAAACCGAAACCACCACCTACCCAGGTCCGTGTAAAAATTGTCTTCCAGGAAACTTGATCCCTGGTGCCGAAAAGTTTGGGGATCCCCACTGTGTATGAAGTCATGATCACTCGCAGCTCTTTGCCTGCATCTGCTGCGGATAAACCTTGGCTCAGCTACTTAGCATGCTTCCTCCAGCTGTATTTGCAATGAGATGAGACGCTGACTAATGCCTTGGCCAAGCTCACCCACTGCAGTGTGGTTTGTCATGCTTGGGAAGGTGGGATGAGCTGAACAACAATGCAAAGAGCTTCGCTTTGAAAAGCTTTGCTTCCAACCCTGGCCTGGTCATAGTGACTTATGGCAGAAGCTGCCCAGGGAAGATGCAGACCCCTCCATCTACTTCTGCCCTAGGGATGGACTCACACAGGCAGGAAGGGCCCCCTTGCTGGGCAGCAGCCCGTTTCACCCAAAGTCAGAAAAATAAAAATGTCTGCAAACTTAGCTTCCAATCAGCTCAATTAACAATTTGAGATCAGGACACGTGCATTACAAATAACTGTCTCAATCCAGGTAGTTTTCGACTTATGACCCCAGTATTTCTTTTGCTAAGCCAAACAGCTAAGTGAGTTTTGTTCCATTTTATGACCTTTCTTGATTCAGTTATTAAGTGAATCGCTCCAAAGATTACGTTAGTAACCCAGATGTTAAGTGAATCTGGCTTCCTCCTCGTGGACTTTGCTTGTCAGAAGGTTACAAAAAGGGATAGAATGGCCTTGGGATCCTGCAACCGTCATAAATGCGAATCAGTTGTTAAGCATTTGGATTTTGATCACGTGATCCTGGGGATGCTGCAACAGTTGCATGTGAAAAAGGGTAATAA